AAATGCTATGCTGTGATACAGGGGTTGGTACACTATGGCTTGCTGTATGTGAGCTGCATCCTGTTTTTTTATAGCTCTGGAGCTGAGAATGGATTTAAAATTTTAAAGGGTTGTTTTGAAAAATTAAAAACAGAAGACTATGCTACATACAGAGACTGTATGTGGCCCACAAAGCCTAAAATATTGACTATATCGTCCTTTACAGAAAAAGCTTCTAACCCCTGCTCTAATGTCTGGGGATTCTTGGCTTTCCTTTCATATTTAAGCAGTTTAGAAACTCTGTGCAAATAGGGTTTGGTTAGCTTCACTGAAGAATGACTTGGTGATGCTGAAGCTAATGTCTGTAGAGGAGAGTAATCTGCCTGGAGTGTACAAGCCTGTGTGCATGTTTCAAAGGTGAATGTGCCTTTGAGTGTGTTGACTTTTACTTAATTTTTCTGTTTTGAGTACAGTTGCCGCAATCTAAACTCTGCTGTACCTCGGATTCAGTTTCTTCAGGGGCTAATCTTAGACTTCTGCTGGAGCCAGAGTGGAGTTTGTTACCTGGCTGCACAGGAAAGTAATGGAAAGTTGGGAGTCCAATTTCCACTTATGTAGAGGTCAACTCCTACATGTGTTTTCATTTTGTACCCACACTGCTCAGTTTTGTAGAATCTTGTACCTCATAGATAACATTTTCAAAAGATTTAAACACAGTTAAGAATTGTATCCATAGTAAAAATTAATTTAGCTTCTTTGTCCTTGTGTACATTCCCATATTTTTGATATTTGAAGTTTGGTGTTTTATTCAGTTATAACAAAAACAAGTTATTACTGAAAACTAGAAAGGCATCTTTAATTTTCAGAATAGCCCCCTGAGGTGGTGGATATATTAGTTTATTTTACAAATGAAGAAACTGAAAACAAAGAAAGGTAAATTAACTTCACTCAGAGGATCACATAGTAAGAGTAGAACCAAGATTCAGCCAGGCAGTCTAGATCTAGAGAATGCTTTCTTTCTTTCTTTTAAATACACTTTTAGTATTGATTTCAGAGAGGAAGGGAGAGCGGAAATAGAAGGGAAACATTGATGTGAGAGCACAACAGCGTTCCACTGCCTCCTGCACTGCTCTGACTGGGAATCGAACAGCAACCATTTGGTGCACAGGACAATGCCCCTACCAACTGAGCCATACCTGCCAGGGCAGGACAACTTCCTTTTAAGTTGTAAGGACGAAAGTCCTTATCTTTGCCCAACCATTCCTAAATAAGGATTCTTCAATCTGTTTGAGCTGTTTACTTCTGTCATGGCAGCTCTCTATAAAAGATTGCCTGTGACTGCTAAATTATCACATTACTTGCATGTTGCATACACTCTCGTAGAGGCAGTATAATAAACTAGAGGTCCAATGTACGAAATTGTGTACATAGGGTCCCTAGGCCTAGCCTGTGATCAGGGCCATCTACTGCCCACTCGCCAGTCCCCATTCCCGCACCGCTGCCACCCCGGTTCGCTGTGGTTCAATCGTAGCATGGCTCCAGTTTCTCGGAGCCTGGGGGCCAGGGGGAGGGACCAAGAGGTCGGCAGTCCCACCTGCTCGCCAGTCCCACCCCGCCCCACTGCCACTCACCTCGGTTCGCCATTCACCATGCTTCGATCAGAGCCTGTGGGGGGGAGGGGCGGGGGCAAGAGGTGGTTAGTGCACCTCATGTCGACTGGTCGAGTGGTCCTTTCGGTCATTATGCTTATGGTCACTGACCTTTTATTATATAGGATTGATAAGTGAATAGACTGCATCCAGATGGCCTAGAAATCCCAACCACCTCTAAACTAGCTGTGTGTTCAAGGGCCAGTTACTTAATGTGTTTGTGACAGGTTGTTGTTTTTTAAATATTGTTCAGATTATTACAGTTGTTCCTCTTTTTCCCCCCATAGCTCCCCTCCACCCGGTTCCAACTCCACCCCCTGCCCTTACCCCCCCACACACACTGTCCTCATAT